GGACACGTTTCATCTTCTATTATCCGACCTGACCACATCGTATCCCACAGACCCATCAGCTCTTTGTAATAATAAATTGTATACCATTACCGTAGTTGCTGATGCTGGCATTCAAAACCAGGACCTTATTTGAGCTCTTTACCACAATGAGATCCTCTGATAACAATTCGACGACGTTAACTTTGTGATGGGCAAGCTTCTTCGCTAGTTCTTAAGCCTGAAACGCCTAGGCTAAGTGTGCAGTGCCATTTAGATCAATCTGCACTTCAACCTGTATATAAGTTTGACTTGCCTTTTCAAATGACGTTTGTTACATTTTCGCTGAGCCCAAGAACTGGTGTCTACTACGCGTGTTCGCAGATCTAGAAATAGGAAGGCCCGAACATAGGTTACTAGGTAAAGCTTTGCGTACGATAATTGGCTGATCACATGTTTCCAAGCAGCACGTTTTTACCGATAGGTTTACGAAAACCAGATTGCACTTTCAGCTTGCCTTGTCATTTTAAAGAACAAAGCAGTGCCGTTTTCAGAACCCTTTGAAACTTCAGCGAGATGGAATGAAACACGTTAACCAGATTAAGACCGAGAAGGAAATGCACAAGTTGACCGTAGAAACATGCTTCCGTCTTTAGATGGAGTAATGGGTATTGGATAAGAAAGTTGCCTGCTGCAGTAAGCTGATTTCATAGGGAAAGTAGAAAGCCTAGTCACTTTTAAACAACACATATAGATGTTGCAGAAAACGGACTAATTAAGTTTTCTACGACAAAGATGGTACTTGTGCAGAAAATGCTAAGGCAACCGCTAAAATCTAAGAAAGTTATTCGACAAATTTGGACTTTGTGAATCGAAGGTACACTGGAAAAAACTGTAACAAAGTGAAGTTAGGATGTCAACGAACACTGGTGAAACATCATGTTTGCTAATACACAAGTTGATTTCAAGATGAAAATAAGTCAAGGCCTTTAACCAACTGTTTATGTTTACCGTGAAAAGTCTGCCGAATAAACGTTTCATGTAAAGCTTGGGAATATTTGCAGAACTTAGATTGTTTATGTGTTAGGCGAGACCTGCTTAAAAAGTTACGGTAAATTGATATAAACGTTTTGCATCTCAACTAACTGATTTTCTTGGAGTGTCCAGACATACAGTAAATTAACTTCGCCAAACGTTTGTGAGTGGATACAGAAATTCACATAGCAGGATTTATGGAAGTACTGGCATCTTTTATAAAAACGTTCTGTTAACCTTCGTTTCGCCCAGGCATGACCACCCAGAAATCCCCTCAGTTAATGCAGTTAATCTACGTAAATAAAAAGTTAAGACCTGCTTGTTAAGTCGGAAAATTCGTTGAGTTTAGCCGAAAAGCCCTCTTTGCAAAGAATAGGCCAGAGGAAAACAAAAGGATAGAGAGAAATAGTTGAGTAAGCTTTCAGTAAATCCGTAGAGTTCCCACACACCATAAAGAGTTGGCGTTAAATTCTATCAAATTCGGCTAGAACTCTAGCCTGCAATTCAACCACTAATTACTAATCTGCATAATAAGAAGCAGTTTCAGTATCCTTCACCACAATTCTCAGGTAATAAAATAGAAGACAAGGGCATCGTTGACCCCTAGTGTAAGGCCGTGAGGCAAGTTTATCTGCAAAAAGGGATTTCTACCGTCAGAACAGACGTTTTCGTAAATTAAGTATTAGACAGAAGCCAC